CGACATACCTAGTTTCAGGGGGGGTGCATGAGTCGATTGATTGAAATATTTGTCTGCTTTGCATAAATTAATTATCACGAGCAATAGCAAAATTCAAAATGTTTTTTGAAAGCTTTCATGGTGGTTCTAAATTAACTGATTCTATCGTTACGAGGTGATAAAATAACCGAAAAACTGATATAAAAGTGTTTTTCGAGACACTTTTTTGATCATAGTCCAGCAGACTGTTGAGAGTAATCACAGTTTGTTCCATAATCACAGTAAGCTACGAAATTCATGGAGAATACAAAGGCAAGTTAAAGCGGGGGAGTCGTCACCTGCGCATGCGTCAGGTGGCCATGTTTACAAACAAGCGTCTACCCATGAATCTCTGCGTTCTTAGCGTGTGTTGTTATCATCGCTTGGGACTCAATTCCCGCGCGTGCGCAGATGACGACCCTCCCGCTTTAATATTTCTCTCTGGTACGTTTGCTCAGTATTGCCATCATATTTTTAATAACTTTTATTAGAAACAATTTACCTAATTCCTACTACCAATACTACTAAAGTTTTATTGCTATTGGCTCGTTTCTACTGCTATAATAGTCCGCTAGCCCACGGTTACTCTTTTTAGATAGTTTTTGTTAAGGAACAGGTAACTACCGCCAGCGTCTTCGTAACCGTTCATTAAAGTGGGGTTGTCGCCAGCTGCGCATGCGGCAAGCGGTCATAGGGTGTCGTTGTTTACAAACAAGCTTATAACCATGAGCCTTTACGTTTTTAGCATGCATTGTTATCGTCGCTTGGGATTCAATTCCCGCGCATGCGCAGGTGACGACCCTCTCCCCTTTAACTATGAGTTATCGAGCTGTCTTGGAGGTCAGATGTTTAGTAGAACCTCGACCTTTAACATTTTGACGCTCCCTCGATATAAGGCGCTGTTCATACGAATGAACATCTACATTGACGCATCACGTGTGTTACCAGTGATAACAAAGAACTACTTTACACAACTTTAGTAAGTGGCGTGAAAATTGTTTACCACGTGATTTCAGTTGAATCATGATTTTTATTAAGGTTCATATGAAACTGATTCGGGCCACGTAATACCCCATGTTTATTGTAAACTTTTTTTCGCTGCACGCCAACTCAATCTTATTTACTTGTACGTACCAGTAATTAATTCGCAGATTGTTTAATTATGTAAAATGATTTCTTTACGAGAAAAAAATCATGGTGAGTTTGATGTCTAAATGATCCGTTCATTTATTCATAAGGGGAACATCGAATATTATACACACACAACTCGGCGTTCCCATAATGTGCAGCCCACGGCTTTTAGTGGGACGTTATTTTTCAGTTGTTAACTAATTCAACTTTGAATCACTTCAATGTTCTTACCCTCGTGGATTTTCTTTGTTGACAACGGTTACATTCTTCATATACTGTTGCCATGGCCCGACGTTTACACTGACGTCATCGACACGAGTATATGTTTATTGTCTCTTTACATGAGTGACAATAATGGATTATCAACTTGAAGGCATTTCTATCACAATGTTTCGTATTGGTTACGGGCAGTGTCATCCGTCAATGTCCGTGAGCTTTCTTAGATGTACCATTCAACCAGTTTATCGCCGTGCCCATCATTCCTGGATGATTTATGAACATGACCATGAGTGAAGAAGTAAAACATTAGACTTTTTCTTTGTATTTATATTGACATTGTATTTACGTGTTTACTGCACAGTGCTTTCCGTATAATCGTCCATGTCTTCATTTTGACGATCATGACGTCTTCCAATAGTCTCTATTGTTGCCTTTCTGCACAAAACTATTTGTGACAGGATTACCATAGAGAATAGAATAGAATAGAATAGAATAGAATAGAATAGAATAGAATAGAATAGAATAGAATAGAATAGAATAGAATAGAATAGAATAGAATAGAATAGAATAGAATAGAATAGAATAGAATAGAATAGAATAGAACAGAACAGAACAGAACAGAACAGAATAGAATAGAATAGAATAGAATAGAATAGAATAGAATAGAATAGAATAGAATAGAATAGAATAGAATAGAATAGAATAGAATAGATTTATTCCACCAGAAAAAAGAGACAATTGTACAGGGAACTTTATCTGAATGAATATTAAATATATATATTATTCCTGGTGGGGACCAGAGAGGTAGTTCTAGCAGAACTAATCTAGTCCCTGGCCCCAAAACCATACTCAACTGTTAAAATATAAGTTGTTGTGAATAGTGATACACAAAAAAATTATATTGTTAAGTTAAAAATAAATAAATAAATACATACATAATTAAGTAAGTAAAGAGACTACAAACTCTCATAATCAATAATAATGAAGAAAACAAAAATAGACAATACTAATACATATACTGCAATAATG